GCCACTTTCGTTGGCAGTACCCGAGCTTTTTCGGAGCGGTGAGAATTGTGATTGAGTTCCCGATGTGTCAACTCGTGAGTTGAATGTTTGCGTCCACTGCAAACCAAAGATGACGTCCCCCCCGCCAACCTCCTTATCACCCGAAGGGTGGCCTATGAGTTACTAAGCCACCGTATGCCAGCGCGGCGGGGAAGGCAGTCGTGGCCGAGCATCGCCAGTCCTCCTCCGCGCTGAAATCGGGCATGAGCTGGATGGTGATCCAGATGTGTGCCCAGTCGCGCAGGCCATGCTCGAATTCGCACGTCGCGATGTGGGCAGGCGTGGTGGCGTCTTGCTTGGCCTCCGTGATGTATGATTTCAGGCGTGCCGACCTCGGCCTAGTCGTCGCTGAGGCTCCTGTTGTGCGTGCTCTGGGACGGCACGGTCCCAGCGAAGGCTTCTGGTAGACGAAGCTGGTGCCCGGCTGTCGCCGTCCTGGCCCGGCACGTCAGCGGTCACCATCCGAACCTGGACGTTGCGGCCCACGCTCGCGCCGCACGGCAGCCACACTTCCACCAGCTGCCTTGGAGAACCAGGCTTCCCGCTTGCTGTCCTCGCCAGTGGCGTCCAACTCTGGCCCCACCGCAGGTGGCCGAGAAGTCGGTTCCGCCACCGGTGGGCGCGCGGCGCCACCTGCGGGCGAGCAGGCTTCCGCTTCTTCGGTTCCCTGCGGGCCCTTCTCGCCCCTGTCCAGGCCAGCACTTGCCGGACCTGCCTGTGCAGTCAGGACGCTGGAATAAGGGCCGTCTTGGGCTCAGAAGCGGCTCTGGTTTCACGGTCGTTCCTTAGATCTAGGTAGGGGTTTGCTTTGTTCAGAAAAGACCGTTCGTTGTCTATGTTCAGTGTTCAGTATATCAGCACGATGAGTGTCGACCTTGAGCTGCGCCACCGACCTATCAGGTAGCCCGTGCTTTCCTGCCCAAGCACCGCTCGTCCGATGCTTTCCTCGTCCTGGCTTCGTCTTCACGTGGGGCTGGCCCGCCTCGCCCGTCATGGAGCAGCCTCAGCTCGCGCGCGTGCCCTGCAGCCAGGGTGCGGGTGCCTCATCGCTGGGCCGTCGGAGCGCACCCGCCCCGGTGGCCAGGAGGTGTGGGCTGCCCACGGCATGGTGAGCGCAGCAGCTGGCAGGGCTGGGGCAAGACAGGAGTCGATCGCCGCCCGCGCGGTCAGGCATCAGACCCCGGCGTCGTCCATGGACCCATACGGGCGCACCGTCTGGCCAGGTGTCGTAGTGGACCTTCGGCATAAGGTCATCCTCCAGCCAGCGAAGATTAAGAGCCTATTCCTGCGCTGGTCGGTGGCTGGGGCGCCATCCGCAGGTTCTTGCAAGAGCTCTCTCGGGAGGATCGACGAGGAGGATCGAATTCAAGAACGTGTTGCAGGCTTCTGGGAACTCCTCGAGCGTCCTCGTCTCCACGGCTGGATTCGCTTCGAAATTTTAGCCGGAGAGAATTTCAGGAGAGGACCGATTTTTGAGGAGTGCGAAGAAGAGGAGACGAGGGCGAGGGCGAAGACGAGGACGAGCAAGGTATCTCTTAAGAGCGAATTAAACTTCAAACGGAGAAATGGCCCCATGCTGTTGACACCACGTAACGCAGGGTCAATTAACACTACGCTGTTGACTCTACGTTGTTCGCATTAAGAGGAGAGACAGGACGCCTCTTATCTGCGACACTACGCTGTTGACGCTACGTTGTTCGCGCTAAGAGGAAAAACGGTACGCTTTTAATGTGCGACACTAAGCTGTTGACACCACATTGTTCGCATTAAGAGGAGAGGCTGTACGCTTCTAATGTGCGACGCTACGCTGTTGACACCACGTTGTTTGCATTGTGAGGACAGACAGTACGCTTCTCATCTGAGACACTACGCTGTTGACACTAAGTTGCTCGCATTAAGAGGAGAGGCAGTACGCTTCTAATCTGCGACGCTACGTTGTTGACACTACGTTGTTCGCATAAACAGGAGAGGCAGTACGTTTCTAATCTGCGACACTACGCTGTTGACACTACGTTGTTGGCATCAGGAGGAGAGACGGTACTCTCCTAATCTGCGACACTACGCTGGTGACACTACGTTGGCCGCATTAAGAGGAGAGGCAGTACGTTTCTAATATGCGACACGACGCTCCTGACGCTACGTTGTTCGCAAAGACGGGAGAGACAGTACGCCTCTAATCTGCGACACTACGCTGTTGACACTACGTGGTTCGCATTATGGGGAGAGACAGTCCGCTTCTAATCTGCGACACTACGCTGTTGACACCATGTTGCTTCCATTAAGAGGAACGACAATACGCTTTCAATCTGCGACACTAGGCTGTTGACACTACGTTCGTCGCATTAAAACGAGACAGTACGCGTCTAATCTGCGACCTTACGCTGATGACACTACGCTATTCCAAATTAGAGGAGGGCAGTACACTTCTAATCTGCGACGCTACGCTGTTGACACTACGTTATTCGCAGTAACAGGACAGCGTGAACGCTTCCAATCTGCGACGCTACGCAGTTGACGCGACGTTGTTCGCAATAAGAGGAGAGACAGTACGGTTCTTATCTGCGACCCTGCGCTGTTTACACTACGTTATCGGCAGTTGGCATCAAGAGGAGAGGCTCTGTGCCTTCGCTGTTGACACTACAACGCTACACTGTTGACACTACGCTGTTGACGCTATACAACGTTGGTTTCTCTACGCTGTTGGCGCATGCAGTTGACAATGCGCTGTTGACACTACGCTTACGCTGTTGACATTACGGTGGTGACATGACGGTGTTGGTCGACGGTACGCTCAGATTTCACGCCATGCCGTTGGCTCGCGCAGCTAACCATACGCTGTCGACTGCACGATGTGGGTGGACAGTACACTGTTGACACTACGCTGTTGGCACCACGCTGTTCATACCATGCTGTTGCTACGCCGGTGGTTGATACTACGTTGTTGACGCTACGCTGTTGACACTACGCTGTTGCTACGCCGTTGGTTGACACTACGCTGTTGACACTACGCTGTTGACACAACGCTGTTGCTGCGCCGTCGATTGACAATACGCTGCTGACACTGCGCTGTTGACACTACGCTGTTGACACTACACTGTTGACGCTACGCTGTCGACACTACGTTGTTGACACTACACTCTTGACACTACGCTGTTGACACTACGCTATCCGCGCTACGCTGCTGACTTAATTCGCCGTTAAGACGTACTCTCGAGGACGAGGAGGGTGAGGAGCAGCGGGATTAGGAGGACCCCGACATCCGACATCGCGAAACAATCACGACGGCGTGAACACGTGAGCAACCCACGGCAGGACCTCCCCACGCGTGGTCTCTCGAGCTGCACCCATCCGCAAGTGTGGTGGGGCGCGAGGCACGCAGCGTGCAGAGAGCGCCCAGAAGTGCGGGGCCCCTCCGGCCTCCAGCCCAAGACTCTCTCCCGGGCCCGTCTCGGAGCGCGTTCTGACAAAGAGGTCGGGCCGAGTGCAGCCGTGGCAATGATGCCCCCTCTCTCCCCATCCGAGGCCCTTCTCCTCCTCATCCGCCTTCCTCCTCTCCTCCATCCTTTCCCGGACCCGTCTCGGAGCGCGTTCTTACAAGGATCGTGAAGGTTTTCCGGCTGGTGCCGCCTACCCTGAACACGATAAAGACGAGGACGACGAGGAGGAGGAGGGTGAGTAAGAACAGAAGGAGGAGGAGGAAGAGGAGGAGGAGGAGGAGAAGGAGGAGGAGGAGGAGGCGGTGGAGCAGCAGGATTCGCAGTCGGAGGAGGAGGAGGAGGAGGAGGAGGAGAAGGAGGAGGATGAGGACGGGGAGCAGGGGCAGGGGGAGGACAGGGGGGGGGAATGAGGAGCAGGAGGATGAGGCGATTTGGGGGTCTCTTCGTAGCGCTATCGGGGGTCTCTTGTAGGCAGTTTGGGGGCGTTTGGGGAGACTCTTGTAGGGCCTCTTGGGAGCCTCTTGGGGGCCTCCAGGTGCTTCCTGGGGGCTTCTTGGAGGCGTCTTGGAGGCCTTCTGAGAACTTCTCGGGGACGAGGGCTCGCGATGTCCGTTGGGGTCCCCCGTCTTGGCACCCTCTTGGTTGGAGCCGTCTTGGGTGCCTTTTGGCCTGTCTTGGAGGCATCTCGGGCCGTCATGGGGCCCTCTTGGGCCATCTTGGAACCTCTTGGGGGACTTTGGGCCGTCTTGGGGCGATCTTGGGGGCCTCCTGGGCCGTTTGGGAGCGTCGGGAAGTGGAAGATGCGAGAACGCCAAATCTTTCGATAACCTTATGTACATTTTGAATTTGGCCTCTTGGGGCCTTCTCGGGAGTGCTCCTGGGGGCCTCTTGGGGCGTCTTGCAGGCCTCATGGACCGTCTGGAGACTGTCAAGGCGTCTTGAACAGATCGTTCGGCGATTCGGGGCCTTCTTGGACCGTCTTGGAGGCCTCTTCGGGCAATCCTTTCCCGTCCTGGGGCTTCTTGGGGACCCGGGACCCAACGGGGGAGAGTCATATCTGGGTGGCGAACCCCCTGCTGGGACCCCCTCCCCTCGAACGGACACGCCACTCTCCTTCTCCTCCTCATCCGTGTTCCTCCTCTCCTCCATCCTCTCCGAGACAGTCTCGGAGCGCGTTCTGACAAGGATATCGGGCCGAATGCAGCCGTGGCGACGAGGCCACCTCTCCCCCTCCTCCTCCACCTCCTCCTCCTCCTCCTCCTCCTCCTCCTCCTCCTCCTCCTCATCCGCGTTCCTCCTCCTCCATCCTCTCTCGGACCCGTCTCGGAGCGCGTTCTGACCAGGACTTCGAGCCGAACGCATCCGTGGCTACGAGCGCCCCCCCCCCCCCCGCCCCTCCTCCTCCTCCTCCTCCTCGTCCTCCTCCTCCTCCTCCTCCTCGTCCCTTCTCCTCCTCCTCCTCCTCCTCCTCCTCCTCCTCCTACCCCTCCTTCTCCTCCGCGTTCGTCCTCGCCCACTCTTGAGGATTGTGTACTCCGTGCCGGACGAACTGAACACGGACCCCTCGCAGGCGCTGGAGATCGCGGCGCGGGCGGGGGGCAAGGCGCGCGGGGCCGTTTGGTCAACCGAAGGGCTGGCGGTTTCAGAACGACAACACAAATACCCCATTCGTCGTCTCCTCCACTGTTTCTCCTCTGGAGTCCCATCCTCCTCCTTCCGATCTCGTGCCAAAGTCCACGGGGCCAGGTGCCATGGGTCGTTCGGTCACGATGAGGGGGTGTTTGACCCAGAGACCCCCATACAAATCTTCCCTAGGCAAAAAGAGCAATCGAACAACGTCGGTTCATCAGTGTCACGGTTGTCTTTTCCACAGGGAGGGTATCTTGTCCGTTTGGCCCTTGGCTTGCAGGGAACTCATCCTGTTCCTGGTTATGTTGATCTTCTATGTTGCCTTCCCCCTCTTCTCCCTTCCTCCTCTTCTTCATTCACCTGTTCGCAATTATTCGGATGTGTACTCGCCGATTCCGAGACAACATCATCTCCTTCGTGATTTTCTTCCTATTATTTTTTTTCTCTTTCCTCCCGCTGCTGCTTCTGCTGCTACAATTCCACGCCCTGGTCCTTCTCCATCCGCGTCTCCTTCCTCATTTCTCCCTCGTCGCCGGTTTGCCATTATTGCGCGATCATGGAGTCATGGGGCACTCCCCGCTGATACTCACACCTCCTATTGCTTCCGTCATACGTCTCCCCTTCATCTCTCTTCGCTGCTCCCATCCCTTCTACCTTGTCCTCCTGCTGTATCTGCGCAAGCATCACCACCACCGTTACCACGACCACCATCACCTTTACCAGCATTACCATCATTACCCTCATCATCATCGTCGCCAACCTCATTGACACCATGACAGACATGCAACAGCACACCATGAACCACCCCTGCTGCTGCTGCTGCTGCTGCTGCTGCTGCTGCTGCTGCTGCTGCTGGTGCTGCTGGTGCTGCTCCTCCTGTCCCTCCTGCTGCTGCTGCTGCTGCTGCTGCTGCTCCTCCTCCTCCTCCTCCTCCTCCTCCTCCTCCTCCTCCTCCTCCTCCTCCTCCTCTTGCTCCTCCTCCTCCTCCTCCTCCTCCTCCTCCTTCTCCTCCTCCTCCTCCTCCTCCTCCTCCTCCCTCATGCTTCTGCTGCGGCTGCTGCTCCTCTTGCCCCTCCTTCTCCGCACCCTCATACTCTTGCTGCTGCTGATGCTCATCCTCCTGCCCATCGTGCTCGTCCCTCTGCTGCTGCTCCCTCCCCCTGCTCCGCACTCGGCGACAGCGCGGCAAGGTGTGTTCGGAGGACCTGACACGACAGCTCGGCTGGAGGCCTGAAAGGGCCGAGGCGGCGCTCGCGCACTTCGTTCGGGAGGGCCTCTGCTGGGTTGACACCCAGGATCCGAAGAAAGAGGGAGGGAGGAGATGGACGACGATGGGGGAGGAGGAGGAGGAGGAGGAGGAGGAGGAGGAGGAGGAGGAGGAGGAGGAGGAGGAGGAGGAGGCGGAGGCGGGGAGGGGAGGAGGAGGCGGAGGAGGAGGAGGAGGAGGAGGAGGAGAGGTGGAGGAGGAGAGGGAGGAGGAAGAAGATGATGATGATGATGATGATGATGATGATGATGATGATGATGATGATGATGATGATGATGATGATGATGATGATGATGATGAGGAGGAGGAGGAGGGGAGGAGGAGGAGGAGGAGGAGGGGAGGAGGGGAGGGGAAGGAGCATCAGCAGGAGCATTACCAGGAACAGGCGGACAAGAAGGAGTAGCAGGACAGGAGGAGGAGGAGGAGGTAGGAGGAGGAGGAGGAGGAGGGGGGGGAGGATGAGAAGGAGAAGTCGGGAGGGCGATCAGTATGAGGGGGGAGAGAGAGAGAGAGAGAGAGAGAAAGAGAGAGAGAGAGAGAGAAAGAGAGAGGCGGGTGGGGGAGGGGGGGGAAGGACGTGAGAGAAGTAGGATGGTCGCGCTCTTCTCCTTTCCTTTCCCCTCCCTCCCGGCCTTGCCCCATCCCATCCCTCCCGCCCTCGCTCCTCCATCCCCTTTCCCGCTCATGGCAAGGAAGGGGAGGACGAGGGGGAATATGGGAGGATGAAGATGATGATGAGGAGGAGGAGGGCCAGGAGGAGGAGGAGGAGGATGAGGGGGAGGAGGAGGAAGAGGAGGAGGAGGAGGAGGAGGAGGAGGAGGAGAAGGAGGAGGAGGAGGAGGGGGAGGTTGAGGAGGATGAGGAGGAGGAGCAGCAGCTAATTTCTGTCCCCCCTGAGAGTGCGCGCTCGCGTGTGTTGCCGCCTCTGTCGCGTACTGTTTTCACACGTGCGCAAGATGACTTACATTGTGTTGTTCCTTGTGTGTTTTACCGGAGTGTTAATTGCCCTTCAAGAAATGGTGCCCCCGTTGCAGTGGTGGCCACAATTCAGGGTCGGCTCATTCCGATTGCCGCTCTGGTCCAGCACAGGCCGCATTCATCGATCCGCTTCGGTCCTCGTCTCCGCTGCCCGACGGGGGTGAGGCACTTTTTGCCCGAGAGTGGGACGTCTAGGTATGCTCGGACGCGTGCATTTTTCTCGGCGAGGATCATCGAGGAGGCCATCTTGCGAACAAAATGCGCGCACGAAGCCCAACAGTGCACGGGGATTGGACGTCCGAGCGATGGTGGGATGTGGGGGAGCGGCCCACGATTTCGCGCAGGCCCCTAAGATCAACCAAATCTGCCCGCGCCCACACGTCGGGTGTTGCTAGAAGTGCCCCTGGCCCAGGGTGTCCCCAGGATTTCCAAGGAGTCCCCCGCGGCCTCCAGAGCACCCCTCGCGAAGCCCAAGTGGCCCAGGAGATCGAAAGTGGATCGAAAAGCTGGGGCCACCCTGGGCCAGGGGCACCTTTTGGCAACTCCCGAACCCCCGCGTCCTGCCCCCGCCCCCTCCCCCCTCGGACCTGCCTGGGACGCCCGCGTGGTGACGCTGTCGCGGGCGTGGGGGGGTGTCATTCCGAGCTGTCGCCAGGTCCCAGCGCCTGCCCAAGGGCGGGCTACGGGGGAGCATAGTGTCCACGCCCGAGCGCCGGCCCCGCAGGTCACCCGAAGCCGCCCGCCCCCGCCCCCCCCCCCGACCTGCCTGGGATGCCCGCGGGGCCCCGCGGGGAACGACGCCGTCGGGGGGGGGGCGGGGGATCCTTCCGAGTCGTCGCCAGGACCCGGCGGTGGACATGTGGTACTGGTTCCCCAGCATCGCGCTGGCGGGCAGGAGCTGAGTCGCCGCCCACTCGCCCCCCTGGGGCGGCGGGCCGCCGTGGGCCGCGGCCGGGCAGACAGAGGCCCACTTGCTCGTGCCCGCTGGACCGGGAGAGGCGGAGCAAAGCGCGCGCAAGTCTGCGGTGCCGTCTCGTGGTGGTTCCAGTGAGCTTAGAGGAGGAGGAGGAGGAGGAGGAGGAGGAGGAGGAGGAGGAGGAGGAGGAGGAGGAGGAGGAGGAGGAGGAGGAGGAGGAGGAGGAGCAAGAGGAGGAGCAAGAGGAGGAGGAAGAGGAGGAGAAGGAGGAAGAGGAGGAGAAGGAGGAGGAGGAGGAGGAGGAGGAGTGGCCCTTCGCCGGAGTGACCTTTGGTGCGGGCCCATTGGGGCCCCCTGATCGCTGAGTGTGATGCGGTAGTAGCGTCTTGCGCGTCTGTGTTTGGCCCCCCGCCCCCTCGGCCCCCCAAAAGCCGCGCACTAGAGGCCACTCGTACCCAGGATCACTGTTGCGTGTAGCCGATACTGTGCCGTCTCGTGGGGGTTCCAGTGCGCTCAGAGTAGGACAAGGTGCTGATGCCGCTGTCGTTGCCTCGCTTTCGCCTTGATGTGCCTCCTGGGAGGCTCTCGTCGACTCGTTTTCGCCTTGATGTGCCTCCTGGGAGGCCCTCGTCGCAACGGCTGGGTTCGCTGCTACATTCTGGTCAGAACGCGCCCAAGGAGAGGTCCTTGCAGTAGTGGTATCGGTACCTCTTGGTTCCCCCATGAGTTGGGCATACGGCGCTGCGCGCCAGAGGTCTGGTTCCCCCTCAATCAGCACCTTCGCTTTGTGGTTTGACCTTTCCCATCCTTGGCCGCCCCCTCCCCGATGTCTTTCTCCCTCTCCTCTTCAATTCCGCTTCTTTCTCATCCCTCCTTCCCCCCTGGTGCTCTTCAGTTGCCCCGCTTACGATGGCCCCTGAGGCAGTATAGCTATTCAGGTAGGGTGTGTGCGCACTCCCGGGCACCCAGCGTCTCGAAAATAACGAGATGGCATTCGGCCTTCTCAGCTTTTAGCCTTTGGAGGCCAGTTTCGGGCCCTGGGACTGTCGAAACGTGTCGGTATGAAAACCAGCCCCGTGGAAGATGAAACGATGTCTGGGGGATGATGTAATGCTGTAAACCGAGTGGCCGGATGTCTGGATCGTCCCTTGACATCAGGCCAGCGTACAGAATCCACGACGAGCAAAATTCCTCCCCGTTTCGTTCGGGCCCCAGGACCCTCACAGATCGGTCTGGTCCGAATTTCCAGTTCCAGCAAGAGCAGACTGTTGCACTCTCGATGTGCACCAGAAGAATGTGGTGCGCGTCCAGTTGCGCTGCCGCACGTGCTTGCCACCGCGCTCGGTCGGGTGCCTGGGGGAGGAGAGGGCCTTGGGGGAGTGGGCGGGGCGGGCGCCCAGTGGGGCAGGTGCCATGCGACCTTCACCCTGGGCTCTTGATTATGGTAATGCCTTCTGTTTGGGAGTCCACCAGAACCTAAGACGTCGTCAAACAAATGAACACGCTTGTTGGGATCGATGCGTGTGGGGGGGTGGGGCTACCCACGGTTTCGAACAAATCCGCTGCAGACGCGGTGGCGGATACGTGTTGCAGTCTATGTGGTGCACTCTGTTGTGCAACCTGTACGTTACAGTCCACGTGGCGCAATTATTTAATCGCGTCGCTCATTTCGCCGGCCCATATCTCATCACGGTGGCTGCATGGTGGCGTGTTTGTACTCATGGGGAACGGTAGGGCATGCAGGATTGTCCTCGAGGAGATCTTTTGAGATGTGGCTCGCTCCCTGTCGAAGAGAGCCAGCAGAGGGCGCCAAGAGGGCTCATGAGAGTTCCAGCAGAGTTTCGAGTCGTACTTGGGTTGTGGGTTAAAGTCCTCATGGATCCTTTTCTGGGCCTCTTCGGAGGACTCTCGGAAGCCTCAGTGGAGCAGTTTTGAGGCCTATGTGGAGCGTCGTGGAGGCTTCTTTGGGTCCTCTTAGGGCTTCCTGAGGGCCTCTTTTAATGTTTATGCTATTGAATCGCTTCGCTCATTGTGGCTGCGTGGTCGTGTTCTTGTGCCCAGGGGGAACGGTCGGGCAGGCAGGACTGTCCTCGAGGAGATTATTTGAGCTGTGGCTCGCACCCTGTCGAAGAGAGCCGATAGACTGCCCCAGAGGGCGACACTATGGCTCAAGAGAGCTCCAGCAGACTTTCGAGTCGTACTTGGGTTGTGGGTTAGAGTCCTCATGGATGCTTCTTCGGGTCTCTTCGAAGGCCTCTCGGGAGCCTCTGGGCAGGAGTTTTGAGGCCTCAGTGGAGCCTCTTGGGGGCTTCTTGAGGGCCTCTTGGGGCTTCCCGGGGGCCTCTTGGCAGTCTTGGGAGCCTCTTTTGTAGCCTCTTGGGTTCTCTTGGGGCCCTTTTGGGTAGCTCTTGGTTGCCTCTGGGGGCTTCCTAGGCACCTCTTCGGGCCGAGAGCTCGAAATGTCTGTTCGAGTACCCCCTCTGGGCCCCCTTTTTGGGACATAGGACCACATTGGGCCATTTGGGTGCCCTCTTGGAGGCTTTTTGGGCCGTCCTGGAGCGATCGTGGGGCCTCTTGGGCCGTCCAGGGCGGTCTGCAGCTCGAAAGGGCGGTCCCGCCAAAATCGTCCGAAAACCAGAGCGAAATCAATGATTTGTGCGTCTTCGGGGCCTCTCGAAGTCCTCATGGAACCCTCCTGGAGCTTCTTGGGCGCTTTTTGGGCCGTCTTGGGACTAACGCGGGCCATCTTGGAACGCTCTTGGCCTGAGGCCGTGGGGCGTGCCACCCTTTTGGCACCTCACTGGGGCGGTCGGGGGGCCCCCCACGAGGCCGCGCCCATGAGTTCTGGCATCTCTGGCCCGACCCTGCCGGGACCTTTTCGGGACCTTGCATGCCGGGGTACTTTTCGTCCGAGGACCACCAGGGGCCGCCACACGCGCGCGAACTAGAAACATTCTTGAACTGCTACCAGAGATGGCAGCACGCCTCTGGCCCGTTGGACCCGCAATGTTGACGAGCTTAATGTCGTCATCACCAATGTTTGAGTAAACAGTCCACCCGCCCATCCGCAACTTGCTGGCAAGACTGAAGAGGCCGTGGGTACAGTGACCAATCGGAATTGTTAGGAAGCCACAACATACACAATTATTCGCGAACCAAGTTTCATGCAGATCCATGGCTCGGTGGGCGTGTGATGATGATGATGATGATGATGATGATGATGATGATGATGATGATGATGATGATGGTGATGATGATGATGATGATGATGATGATACTGATACTGATACGGATACGGATGCTGATACGGATACGGGTATTGATACCGATGTTGATGATGATGACGATGACGATGACGATGACGATGGTGATGGTGAAGGTGGTGGTGATGATATTGGTGATGGTGATAGTGATGGTGATGGTTATCCTTGGGGTGGTGGTGGTGCTGATGCTGATACTGCTGCTGCTGATGAGGATCAGGATGATGATGACGCTGCTGCTGCTGCTGACGATGCTGATGTTGTAGATGAAGGTGTCGCTGTTGTTGATGAGGGTTTCGGTGGTGATGATGGTCATGGTCATGGTCATGCTGATGCTGATGCTGATGCTGATGCTGATGCTGATGATGTTGTTGGTGGTGGCGATGATGATGATGATGCTGATGTTGCTGATGATGATGACGCTGATTATGATGATGATGTCTAGGGACACCATGCAATAATTCCCGTTGGGCACAACTGCAACAAATAGGTGATTGCAATGCTTGTTGTTGCCATGCTTCAAACACGAATGCTCCTTGATGTGTTCGACATGCTTTCGCGGGGGCGCGCGCGTGTGCCCAGCATGACATTGTTTGACAGGGACGGCGGAGGATCTCGATACCTGATGATTGTAGACAGCGCGCGCTCTTGGCCTGCACTGTCTTCTTGCACAGGAATGACAGGACACCTATGGTTGTCTCATGATGTTGGAAAGGCCGGGTGCACATACACATCGAGATCATATCATGGAAGAGTTCATAAGATTTGACGGTTTCTATCTGGAAGTGTTTGTTCACTTGTGTGTTTCGTCCGATTTCGGCATGTCGCCGCGGAGGGTGCGCGCTCGCGTGGCCCGCATGGTATGTGGAAAGCCTTGCGGCCTGTGTCGTCGACCCTGAAGGGGAGCGACGACGATGCTGACACTTTGGAGCCCTTCTTGGGGCTTTCTTGGGAGCTCATTGGGCTGTGTTTGGGGCCTCTTGGGGGACTTCTTGGGAAGCTCCGTGGCCTCTTGGAGCTGCCTCGGGGCGGATTTGAGGCCTCTTGGAGCCATGTGGGAATTGTTCCACACATGTGAACTTCTGGTGCTTCAAGGACGTCTCAAGCGATGGTGGTTCCCTGTGCGTGCAATCGTTGGATGAGATAATATCTCACCTCGTACGCGCTGAGGATATCTCAAGCGATACGCCCAGAGTGAACAAGAACCGTCCTCCAGCCGTGCAGCTGTCAGATCTGACGACTGTGCGCGGCGCAAGACCGGAGACACGTGCCGAAACCCGCTTGTCCTCCACCCGTGCAGCCGCTGGAAACTGCAAGCTTTGGGGTCACGAGCTGTGTGGATGACTCAGGCGCAGCGCCCCGCAGAAGCCCCCGACACGCCTGGTGGCGCGGCGAGGTTCGCACCCGTGGACCCTCCATAGGCCAGATCCTGGCTGCTCTTGGCGACTGGTCAGAACCCTTTCCCTCCAATCTGCTTACGCGACTAGCGAAAGCAATTCGACGAAGCACCGGTCCAGACCCGGACACCCCCCCTCCCCCACCCTTCGGCCAAATGTCGAAACCTAGCATTAAAAAAACGCCCACGAGGTTCGCTCGGCTTCCTTGGATCGGCGCTCGACCCCCCTGGCGGCGCCTCTGGCGCCGCCCCTGCCACGCCTCGCCTGCCAGGGGAGGAGGGCCCACCGCCGACCCGAGAAATCTGTGCGGACTCCAGGCAGATTATGTCTGTCCCGGAGACTTACGGTAGGCTCGTGCGGCGATCGCGCCGGCGATTCCGGCGAGGGCGTTCAAGGTGGAACTCCGCATGCTAGAACGACGCGGAGGCACCGAGGGGCGCGGGAACGCCACAGGACCCGACGGAATTCAATCTGGAGCGATCGGGGCCGCGATCGATCCAAAGCTTGACCGATCTAGGCGGTGTCGCAAACCTTTGCGCGCGCCGACGCCGTACGAATCTACCGTACAGTCAGAGTTCATAGTGAGGATGCACGATAAGGATGCAAGTCTTTTGGATGCCCATGCCGAAGCTTGTCGAGCGGAGCTGGCCATCGAAAGTGGTTCAGGATGTACCGAAGAGGCAGGGGTGCAAGGATGCCCTTGGGAAGGTTACCCATGCTTACCATGAGTTTCGACTGCACGCCAGTTCGACGTCCCCGAGAGGAGGGTGAGGTTAGGAACGGAGGAGAGGCCGGCCCGCGGGGGAAGGGATTCCGAGGTTCTGGGTATGGCGCGCCACGAGACCGGCGTTCGTGCAGACCGTCGCGGGCGTGCATGCCCGACGAGAGCATTGTTTTACGTCGCAGCGCGGCAGGGGCAGTTCGCACGCGCACTCGGGCGGGCCTGGGGCACGGCAGGCGCTGATGGTCTGGCGGCGAGAGCGGGTCTCTCGAATGGCCCCACGAGAACACGAGCAAGATGAAAAAACATGAATGAGGGATTTTGGCAAGGGACTCGCACGACCCTCATTTGAAAGGCAGTTCTCACAAGATGAACATCACCAATCATGGATTCTGTCATAGCGTGTCGCCCGTCCATCAAATGCTGGAGGCGATATTTTTTAATTTCAGTTGATTGTTTCTTGAGGCAAGTCCTCTCGTCTGATTTCGTGAAGGTTTCTTTCAGATAAAGGTTTCAGTGAGGTGGAATACGTTGGGCGAAGAGTGGGCCCCACTTTGACGGCATAATGCTATTTGTCCCACTCGTCGCACAACGTGACCAGTCCCATGTTGCGTGGGGCATGGTTGTTTTGCCAGTTTCCATCGGTGCTTACTGCAAGACAGCCAATACTTTTTTGATTTGCGGCCCGCAAGGAGAAGTCCAGAGGGCGGTATGACAAAACAGCCAATACGTGCACCTACAGCTTTTGGTGCCAGGGCCGTGCGTGAAAGTGAGGAGGACCCGCAGCCGGGCCCGCCAGGGGGGCCTGGGGCAGCGTGAGCTCAGACAACCCATTTGCCATCACCCGACCAAGGTACAGCAAGCCTCCGACTCAGCAGCTCGGTCTGCTGGACCCGCGTCGCGGCGTGCGAATCCCGAGGGTGCATTCGCGCACCTCGCTTCGCAAATGTGTCGGCACGGGTGCGGCCGCTGGCCAGAAACAACTCGCGACCGTAAGGGCCATGGAGAGACCGAGGAGCGAACACCCTGATCACACGAACATGGTCGTACCTAATGCCCACGGGGGGGAGGGCGCGGACGAGGGAGGAGGAGGAGGGGGAGGAGGAGGAGGAGGAGGAGGAGGAGGGCGAGGGGGAAGGAGGAGGAGGGCGAGGGGGAAGGAGGAGGAGGAGGGCGAGGGGGGAGGGGAAGGGCGATGAGGAGGAGGAGGGGGAGTACTCTGGATCCCTTAATAATCGCCCCCCCCCCTAAAAAACCGGACCCCCCCTTCCTTCGCGACATAATTTTCCGGACCCCCTCCCGCAGAGGGCGCCTTAATATTCCGGACCCCCCCCAGCAAAATTGCGAGCGCCACGACGACGACGACGACGACGATACGAGAATTACGACTACGACGACGACGACGACGACGACGACGACGACGACGACGACGACAACGACAACGACGACGACGACGACAACGACAACGATAGTCGTCATCGCCATCACAAGTACCTTCATTGCCACCGCCGCATCATATCGTGATGATGGTGATAACGACGATGATGAGGATGATGACGATGATGTTGAAAATGTTGTTGATGATGATGATCATGATGATGATGCTGATGATGATGTTGGTGATGATGAACCTGATGATGACGATGACGATGACGATGACGACGGTGATGATGATGCTGATGATGATGATGGTTAGTACTCCGCGGGCTAGCACCCAAAAGGCGCCCTAATAAACCGGACCCCCCCTGAACGTCGGCTTCAAGAAACGCCTTAATAAACCGGACCCCCCTGCTTCCCCAAAATGCGCCTTAATAAACCGGACCCGGGGGACGATTATTAAGGGATCCGGAGTAGGGAGCAGGGAGGAGGCGAGCTCATGCTCGTTCTGTCCTTGCTCTTTCCACGGAGGAGGCGCGGCAGTAGCAGGGGGAGGGGAGCCGCTGCCGCAGGTCGGCCTCGCGCCCTCGGGCCGACAAGGCCGGCGCCGGCGGCGCCATTGTCGCCGTGCGCGAGGAGCAGAGGGGGTCGGGCGGTCGCTCCACGAAGGCGGCCTCGCTCCCTTCAGGCAGTGCCGAAGCGTCCCGATTCGCCCACCAAATAATGTCTGAAAGAGTGTCTAAGAACCTTCCATGGTCTGCACGGAATGTTCTGAGAGCATTTCTGGCCGATATCCTATTGTTTTCACACATGGGGCTGATGTTCTAAGAGCAACCGTGTTTTCGTTCTTGGAACATGTTTGGGTTCTAAGAACATGTCGTGGTAGGCCAAAAGGAATGCTGGGACTCTCGGTCCCTGCTCAATCTCTCCCTCCCCCTGTGTTCCAGCGGCCGCCGCCGCCGCCCTCCCCTCTCCTGGAGCGTGGCTCGTGGCGGCGGCGCGAGTGGTCTGGGCACGCGGTGCGCCACCCGCCGAGCCCCGCGCGCTGGTCGAGCACGCGCTCCGCAGAGCCGCGCGTCGCACTGTGTCCTGCGCCCCGTCTCCCTCCCTCCGTCCTTCTCCCTCTCTCTCTCCTCCCTCCTCTCTCTACTCCATGTCCTCCTCCTCCTCGTTCGCACGCCTGCCCTGAAGGGCATCAGCAACACACTGCAGTGCTTCTCATCATCCTTCCTTCCTCCATCGCTCCCGCCTTACGCGCGTGAGTGCCCGAATCTTATTAGTTGGCAGAGTTGACCGGCGCGCGATGATTGTTGAACGATTTAGGGCTGCCCACGTGTGTTGCCCGCGTGGTCTCCTTTGTGGCAGAAGGCAGAGGACATAAGGTCGTCTTTCGATTTCAGCGAGGGCGCGCGCACAGAAGCATTTGTTGAAGGACAAGGGTGTGCGTCTGACAGCTGTCGCCCAGCACAAGTGAGAAACCAATGCTTTTGGCATGACCTTGGTGCGTGTGCGCGCGTGTAGCCAGCACGGTGTTATTTGATACGGGTTCGTTTGCAATGCACGTGGGAGATCACATCGAGCGCGCCGCATAGTAGCATGTGAAAGGGATCGTGGCGGGGGGGCGCATACGGGCTTGGCTAGGATGGTGTTTTGTGATAGTGCTAGCCAGCATGTACCCTTAACACTGTCTGTTTTAGTTTAGCAACCTGTGTTGCGCAATATGTGGTGCAAAACATGTGTGGCAATGTAGGCTGCAAATTGTACGTCTTGCAAAATATGTTGTATAATCTATGTTGCGCAATCCCTGTTGTGAAATCTATGTGGTGCAATCCATGTCGGGCAATCTGTGTTGTGCAATCTACGTGGTACCATCAATCCATGTGGGGCAACGCATGTGGTACAGTCTACGTTTTGCAGTATGTGTTGGCCTATCTATGCTATACAATATGTGTGATGCAATCTATGTGGTACAAATTATGTGTTGCTATTCGTTGTCGTTCGCAGTGAGTTGCCAACTCCACCGCTCGCGCAATCATCCCACTCACCCACCCGCAATTTGGTTTGCAAGACCCATGCGGCGGCGATTGCGATGACTGCTCGGCACTGGCTGACACATCGTTGCGGGCGAGACCGACGCGGCCGCGGTGGCGCTGTCCGCTGGGGAATTCCCAGCGCGTTTCGCGGGCGGCGCTGATGCGCGGGCACTTCAGTGCGAGTCGGTGACCCGGGCGGGCGTGGTATCATGGCGACGTCGACAACGGCACACACAATAATGTTTCTGGCGATGCTCTTGGCGACGATGGCGATGACGACGTGAATGCCGATGACGGCGCCGATGCTGACCAGGCCGATGACGATGATGGTGTCCGCGCGTCGGTGATGACGGTTTTGCAACGAGTTCGGCATGCGCGCGCGGCCGACGGGCGCGAGTGGCCCTCATGATGTTTTTGTTGACACGGATCGTACCCTGTACCCCCCCCCAGCACGCAAGCGCGCAAGGGCGTTCGAATGATTTCGACATGCGCGCGGAGAGGCACGCTTGGCGGCCGAACTCGATGAAAATGCGGAAAACACTGATTGGCGTTTGCTTCCCAGAAAGAAGTTGCAAGAGCGCGCGGGTTTTTTTGAACTCCCATGGTGCGCAGCTACATGTTAGAAACATGTGTTCGGGACGCTCGGTTTTGAATTCCGTACGAAACCTCATTGGTTTGTTCAGCGATTTCGGAATTCGCGCGAAACGGCGCGCCCGTGCGCAGGTCTTCCCATGTGTTGCCAAGGGCGGTTGTCAATTGATGGTTTTCGGTGCACGCGTGTGCGCGCATCGTGTGTTTTCAAAATTGGGGAGGGTTCGGTACTGGCTTCGCTGGCATCGTATGAATTAGACTAAGTGGTGGGGCAGAATCAAATTTAAATTCTACATTCCCAGCGGGGGCAAATTCTGTCAAACTATAATTGTGCATCGTACGTAATGCAATCCAACGGTGGCGACGGGGCGGCGAGTGCGACAACATAGCCGCCAGACCGACGGACAGGCCCTGACGACGGGCGGCGACGAGGCGGCGACTGGGCGGCGACTGCGACGACATATCCGCCAAACCGACAGACAGGCCCACACGACTGGCGGCGACGGGGCGGCGACGGGGCGGCGACGGCGACTAGATAGTCGCCAGACTGGCCTGCAGGCCCACACGGCGAGTGGCGACGAGGCGGCGACGGGGCGGCCACGGCGATTACATCGCCGCCAAGCCTACCTGCAAGCCCACACGACGGGCGGCGACGACTATTACAGAGCCGCCAGCTCGACCTCCAGGGCCAGTTGCTTATTCCAGAAGTAACAACACCTAAGTGCAAGCACTGTTTGGGGAACGTGCATGTTCGTGCGCACTCAAATCTGAGAGCCGATGCGCGGAGGTGGGGTTTAAGTCCGACCTAGACCCCTTGGGTGCCTCGAGGGATCTCTTGTGATGTCTCTCGGACGCCTGCTGGATGCGGTTTGGGATATATGGGGGGGTCTCTTGGGCCCTTACTTGTGCCTTTCAGGGGCCTTATGATGCTTGTGGCATCTTGGGGGTCTCGTGGAACATCTTGGGGCGGAGGGCTCGAAATGTCAGTTTGTGGTCCCATTCTGCGGCGTGCCTCGTAGGCCGTTTTGGAGCGTCCGAAGCGAGAAAAGGCGAGAACGCTAAAATCTGGCAACATCCAATCGAAATCAATGATTTTGGTCCATCGTGACTTCCTTAGGGGCCTCCCAGAGCCTTCTCATAGCTTCGTGGGGGCCTTTTGGCCGTCTTGAGGGCACCGTGGGCAGTCTTGGGGCCCTTTGGGGCCGTCTCGGGGCGCTCTTGGATCTTCTTGGGCGCTTCTCAGGACAGCCCGGGAGGGTTGGAGGGTCGTTGGGGGCGGTCACTGTCCCGAAGGGCTACGCGAGAACCCCCATGAGCGCCCAAGAGCGCTTGAGGTAAAATGTTCGTGGTCCGAGCCTCTCAGAACTTACAAAGTCTCCATCCACCTTTCAGAACTGTATGAGCGTTGGGGCGTTCCACTACGCGCTGAAGACACAGTGGCGGGTTATTCATATAGAAGGGAATGTATGCATAGCAGGCAATGCGATTAGTAGCAGTAGTGGCTGTGTTGGTGGTAGTAGTGCAGTTCAGCATCTGATTCAGAAACCTCCTCCCGCAAAGCCGGGCCAGCGTTTCTCAACCATCTTGCTGGGAAGTTGGCCCAGTTTCTTGAGCACGTTCGCCCGTCCAGCGTTAGCACCAGAAATTGGCCCAGGCTTGTTTTCAGAAACTTCCGGGAAGCTGGCCCAGATTTCTTGATTGCTTATTTTCTTGACCATGTCTTCGGCTGTGCAGGCCGGCGCGCGAGGCGGCGACGAGGCGGCGCCAGGCGCCCACGCTGCGACCACCAGGAAGCGGATGCCGGCACACGGGGCGGCGACGAGGCGGCGGCGGGCGCCCACCGTGTGAGACCCGGAGAGGCAGGCCGGCCCGCGAGGCGGCGACGCGGCGGCGACGCAAGCCCACGGTCGAAGCCGATGGTGAGGGTGGGGTGGCTTTCCCGGGTGGTAGCCTTCAAGCAGTGGCGAAGCGTCCTGGCTCGCCGATCGGCCTACCAAAGAGTGTTCTGAGAGCCTTTTGTGGTCTGCGCGAAATGTCAGAACCTTTCTGGTTGAGGCCGTCTTGTTTCAATCCTTCGGGGTTATGTTCCAAGAAAGTTGATCTTGTTCTCAGAACATTTGTGGGTTCTATGAACGTTTCGTGGTAGGCCTTTAGGGCTGCCGGGACGGTCGGTCCCTGCTCAAACCCGTGCGGCGATGGGCGCCCATCGTGCGAAACCCAGAAGTGCCAGCTGGCCCGCGAGGCGGCGACGCGGCGGCGACGGGAGCTTGTGGTCGGAGCCGACTGCAAGGAAACGTGAAGCCTGCTTCCAGGGTCACCACCCACCAAACCACCCCAGCCCAACCCGAAGGCCCCAATTTGCCCTCCCTTCCCAGTGTGGGGGGGTCGGGAGCCAGTACCCCTCCCTAACCCGAAATTCGGGTCTTCGGGTCGGGTTGGGGTGGTGTGGTAGGCAGTCCAAGAGGGTGCCTTTTGGCATCCGTGGCTCTTGGGTTCACCCTAGACTACTTTCGGTGGCCCGCCGCGCTCGGAAAGGCTTCAGCATGGGCGGCCAGGGGGCTCACATCCGTGGCTCGTGGGTCCATCCTTCACTACTTTCGATGGCCCGCCGCGCTCGAAGAAGCCTCAGCATGGGCGGCCGAGGGGCTTGCATCCTCATCGCGCCTCCTTGCTATCAGTTCCGATTGTGCCACCAGGGAGGCCCAGAGATGCCAGCGAGCGCACGAGGCGGCGACGAGGCGGCGACGAGGCGTCCACCAGCTCCTCCAGCTTCTCCAGCTCCTCCTTATCCTCCTCCGCCTCCTCAAGATAAGATCAGATATGCAAGAGACCCTCAGTGCAGGCACTGTTTGAGGAACTTCGGGGAGGCTGTAGGACCCCTCTGGCAGCGCCTCTGGTGCCGCCTGTGGCGCGCATCGCGCGGCGGGTTAGGGGGTCCAGCGCCGACACAAGAAGTCCGCACAGACCTCCGAAAGTGTATGTCTCTGCAGCTCATTGTTCCCGTGCGGTACATCGTGCGCTCTGTCCTTTCCTCCACTGCGTTGT